GGGATGAAGCAATATGAAGGGAAAGATGCCCTAAGTGGGCAGTCCTAGAGAAGTTGGAGCCTTAGACAGTTTTCAGGGTTAGCAAGATGAAGATTTCCTTCATTGGTGAAAACAGGGAAGCTCTTTGGGGGAGATCTCCTGGGAATGTATGGCTCATCGGGGAGGTCTTGTGGAGGGGGTGGTACCCTGGATGAAGATGTCTTAATGTCATCCTGTTCAGTAGATTCAGAGAAGATCAGTAATAGAGAACTATGAAAATGAAGTAGATTAAATATCACCATTGGTCTCCAGTGACCACCTTCACCTTGCCAGCTACCCATAGACCCAGAGTCCTCTGACCTTTCATCAGATGAGTTTCCTGGAATACATATGAAGAAAGTGGGAATTTTATATGAAGAAGGACACAAAACCAAGTCTTGTGTAATGGAGGGTTTGGGGAACATGCCTAGACATAGCACCTTTGAAGGGTCAGGTGCTTTTCAGTCTTCTGTTCCTTGAGCATTAACTGCAGTCATTCAAAGCAAGCTTATTGGAAATGTCAGTGTTTCTTGTTCTAAGTCATCAACCAAGAAATTTCGAATGTGGCCTGTGGGAAAAGACCAAGCAAGCCTAGCCATCTGCCTCATGCTACCCCCCAAAAGAAGACTCCCCAGGAGTAGAAATCCCTTTGTGACAGTATCTCAAAAATGGTCACAAGGGGAAAGCCTCAAGTCTATCTGTCAGGATACCTCCCAACACCAACCACCTTCCCTCCAATTTCAGGTTTTTCTGTGACAGGGAAATCTGAAGAAAAACAAACCCTCTGAACCTAAACAGCCAAAGCACTATGCTGGGAAAAACTGCTGGCAAGCAGAACAAAGGAGACTGAACTAAACCACCAGGAAGATGCTAACCCAAACAAAGAGTTGGTTCCAAACGACCATGTGAGTATACCTCATCCTTTCTCCCTTACCTTTTATCATCTCAAGCTGTCTCCTACTCATTTTGTTCACATGCTTCAAGACTGTCGTAATTTTCTTTTGAAGTGATTTCAATAGATTTAAATGATTATTATGTATTGTTATATTTTCTCAACACTTTACACTTTGAGGGAATCTTCATTGAGCAAATGGGAAGAAAGGAACCTGGGGAAGAAGGTGGGGTTGGAAACTCTTTGGAGCTATCCAATACCTTAATGGTTGAGCTGGTCTTAATTTTTACTGCCTTCCTAAAAATGGTCCTGGAATTTCTCAGTGCTCCAGTGGCCTTCTTGGTTAATCTAGGGAAAAAGTCCTCATGAATTTATATGTTTTACTTCTCAGTCCTTATTCTCTAACTCACCCAAGCTGGGGTTGGGAGATGACAAGAATCCAAACCAGAAATTCATGTTTTAGCATCCAGGAAACAAGCCAGAACCATCTTGCCTGCTTATGCATTATGGATTCGGCAACACTGGAAACTCTAAGACCAAGACATGTCAAATTCTGTGAAAGTCTCAGTACTTGGCCATGCCCCAGGGCAATGTCACACCTGGAGAGTCCCCACCCAAAGGTAAGTCGGTAAGTCTAGAGGGCTTTGTTAAGAAAGTAGGTGAACATGGAAAATCAATTCTATTTTTTCATGGCTTCAGCCTTGCTCCCAGACTTCTCTACCTCCTCAGGCAGCACTCCTGTAGAATATGGTGTACTGGGAATGACCTTAAACCAGAGTTCTTTCGAGAGCTACTCAGAAAGAAGGAAAATGCAGAAATGGCAAATTGTTACCATAAAAGATAAGGTTATCCTACTGCAGATACTATGGGCTCCCTTCTGCCATTTTCCTGAGCCATACGTGATATAACTTGTGTTCTGTTTCAGGTGACCATGGATAATCTATTAATCTTTCACAACAAGAAAAAAATCAGGTTGCCAGTACCTGCCAGTGCAGTCCAAACAGCACCTGAGTTGGGAGTAAGGATTAAGAAAAGACAGAGACAGAAGATAAATTCAGAAGGACTGTCAGTGAGTGAATACTGCAGGCCCCACTTTATTTCTCAGCATGCTTATATACAACTTTAAGGAAGAGGAAGTAATACAAAAGTTGCACAATATGTAACTTTAAGTCCATTGGAAAGAACATATTGTTCTGCCAAGTGCGTAATTCTAGGTACATTGGGAGCAATAATGAGACTGTTTATTCCCTAACTCAAGGATTGAGCAGGGATGAGAAAGGTATTTGGTAATACATTTGCTGCAAACAGGCCCTTAGCATCAGGGTATATTCTTACAGCCTATCCCTTCTTGGATGATCCCACTGACATCTCATAAGGACGTCACTGATGCATAGTTAACTCTGCCACAGGCCACCATGACATCTCATAAGGACGTCACTGATGCATAGTTAACTCTGCCACAGGCCACCATGACATCTCATAAGGACGTCACTGATACAGAGTTAACCTAGCCACAGGCCACCATGGGTCATCCATACCCCTCTCTGTTCTGACATCACCAATATGCCAGCAGACACTGTGGATTCTATCCTTACTGCACTTTGAAGGGGCTGGTCCTGTAGGACCAGATACTGGAAGAGTGTCTCTATTTTCATACATGATGGGAATGGTACCAAGAGGAAGATGGTATTGAAGGTCTGGTTAAGGCACAATCTGATACAGATGTTGCCCATATCTTGGGCCGCCCAATCACCCTGATACCTGTATGACAATTTCCTTTTATATAAAACCTCCAACTTGTAGGGAATGTTTTTTGTTAAGACGGTGGCTGTTAAAAGAGAGGTGAAAATTCCATCCTGCAAGGAAGCTTCTTAAAGTTGGGAAGAAAATAACTCCAAAAACTTCAGGAGGTCTCTGAAATTGACTAGTCCCTCTCCTTCCTCAAGCATACATAAGCTGTAAAGACAGCTCAGAGAATATCTCAAAAAAGCTGAGCCACAAAGAAGAGACTCAGACCACATGAGCCACATAAATGAAGCAGAATTCAGCCAAGCTCCTTGGAAGAAGCTCAGACCACCTGAGCAACCCGAAAAAGACACTTCCTGACGTATTAAGCTGACTGCACATTGTGTATTGCACTTCAGGTTTCTAGAGCTGTCAGCAATGCCGGGGTGGATTTTGGTGTCACAAGTATCTTTGAGCCATTTCTTCTTCTATAACTAACCCCAATAAAATAACTTGTTGGTTCACCAAGTTGGATTTTTGTGGTATCCTTACTTTGGGGTGTGTCCATTCCCTGTATTGTAGAATACATTTATTCACATGTCCCCAGAAACATTCTCACACAACACCTGGATACTCCAGAGCTGCACTCAGGTTTCTGCCCGAAATTTGGCACCGCCCACGTCTGAGGTCTCAACCCCACTGCACCAACCCCAAGTTGACTGCTTTCCCATTGGTTCCCTAGAGGTGTTCCGCCAGGACTGCCTGTGTAGGTGATAAAGCTGTGCACACCACCAAACATCCCCCATTCACATGACTATACTGAATAGGATACATAATAAAAAAGCTTGATCCTAGCCGTCTGCCTGAGGCATCTATCCCGCTCTAACTTGGTCAGTGGAACAGACCATTGTCAAGAATATCCACATAGGCCTGGCAACGGATGTCATCTGGATACTGGTCCACCATGCCCTCTGGAACCTGATAGGTAGGGTATCTCCGCTCTTGGCAGGAATATGAAGTACCTCTGAGTATGATAGAGGACCATAGATTGAGGCTCCTCCCTCATAGAAACCAACAAGGCAATGGTTCACTCTGTGGCTGCAGGACCTAGCCCGAATATCCTTATACTTCATCCCCAACTGCAGAAGCAGCAGCGGCAGCATCTTGGTGTTCGGCCTTCATGTTTGCTTGCTTGCCCTTCTTCCACACCTAAGAGGAACCCACAGTCCCTCATAACCTGAATGCCTCCAGGCAAGAAACACAATTGTGCAGACAATTCCCACCAGGTGGGAAACACGGGAGAAACTCTACCCCTGAAAGCACTCATAGCTTCAATGAGAGTGTAAATACATCTCTTCCACATGACAAATGGTGAGATTGTGTGCTGGGCTCCAAACAGAGGCTGCTGCTATGGCAGATGGTTTCTATAAGCCCACCCTGCTTGTGGAGCACAGTAATCGAGGGCTGTGATGAGCTTACACTTTCCGTCACACTAATCAGTATCACTAGGCCATGCCCAGCTGAAGAGCACTGAATTGTGTGTGAAGATGTTGTGGGTCCAGGTGGAACCATTTGGGCGGGGCAGTTGGGCGGAACCATCATAGCAGGGTCCTAACAAGTCAGGGTATTCGGGACACTGATCAGTCAGCTTGCACAGGCTCTCTGAATACCCAGGTAGCACCACCCATCCACTCCTGTGGCCGGGCTGAGGTTCCAGAAGCCTCAGGCTTGCTGGGATCAGTGCCACTCGTGGGTGGGGCAGCTTGGAGGAAACATATATTGGCGGGCCCCATTAGTACAAGCCCCCTGGGAAGGAGCTATGTGAGAGAGCTGTTGGTTTTGAGTTCTCAGAGACGCCCCCACCTCTGCGAGTCTGAACAGACTGCTAGTTTAGTGGAAACCAATCCTCGCGAGATCTTGTTTGCACATGCGCAGTGGGCCTCACGTGCTGTTCCGTGTGTTAACCCCCGCTGCACTTGGCACAAAGGCTTCCTTTTTCTCTGCCGAGTTTGAGCGGTAAGGTTGTGTTAGTGGCGGGGTTGGGTTGCTGAGAGGAAAGCCAGAAGAGTCATGCAGGACCCTGATGAGGGCCTCGATGGGAGAGCAGTGGCTGAAGGAGGCGACGAGAATGGGCAGCAGAGTCCTCAAGCTCCCGAAGCCCAGGCTAGCTCTGAAAGTTCGGCGACTGAAGGTGACCGTGGCAACTTCCCTCAGAGTGGCCCACAAGATGCCAGTAGCCCAGCTGCCCCTTGTAGCCCAGCTGCCCCTGGTAGCCACTCTGCTCCAGGCAGCCCCAGCCCGGGGAGCCCTGTAGGGTCCGGTGCAGCCGCTGAGGAGGCAGCTGTCGTTCCCCACAGTGAGCAGCCACCACTCGTCCCTGGACCCAGCGGAGATACTGCCTCAACAACTGGAAATCGTCTCCTGGAGTTGTATCCTTTCCCAAGAGACAGACCCTTGGCAGGGGCTACTGGAACATAGGGAGGCTAAAACTTCCATGGAAGTCTTTGGGGTCATGGTGCACAGCTAACTAGAAAAAGGCCAGATGTTTGTAGTGTGGTCAGTCCAGTGCAGCGGTTGGCATCCTGACAGGACAAGGAGACTGCTTGCCTGAGAGGGTTGAAGGGTATAGAAGACCTGAATCACTGGAGAGGTGGGAGGTGACAGGAGGGCAGATGGCCAGACAGGCCTAGGAAATGTATCCAGGCAAAGGGAAACTAAGTAGTGGATGGTGACTTAACCTTATCTCCCCCCAGCTCTGTAACAGTCCCTTTCAGGTCTGCAGTGGAGGCAGACATGGCCCGCAGGTCCCTGGTCTCCAATGCCCGTCGCCAGCAAGTGATAGTTCTGCAGGAGTTCACTGTGAATGACAGTACCTTGTCTGTGTCAGTATTCCAAAAGTCTGGAGTAGGGGTGGCCTCAGGATTGGGAGGCAGTGTGCACTCTAGGGCTGCCCTAATATAGACACTGGTGGCAGGAAGGCATGGCGTGGTGGACCTGAACAGATCCCTCATCATTTCCCTGACGGTGTCTCTTTCTCTCAATTTTAGTAGGTGGACTACTGAAGACCCTGTGCTCTTTCGCATTTCCATCAACACTTTTCTTGACCAGCTCTCCCTGGTGATGAGAAATATCCAGCGCCTAGAGTTTGTGGCTGTTGTCAAGCGAGGACGAGGAAGAAGTCGTGAATCCTAACATGTTACTGGATACAAGAAAAGTCACAGGCGTTTTCCTGTTTTGAATAATTGGAATTTTGCCCTTAAAAGTTCAGTGTTTCAATACTCTGTGTCGTGTATTAGTCTCATGGTTGGATTGTTTCCCAGTTGCTGAAGGAAAGAGT